TTTCGAGGTTTCAAGGGAAATCGACCAACTGACCGACCATAGGAGAATGTTTGCCGGGGAAACTTTACATAAACTTCAGGAAGCGTGGGTGCGTTTAGCGTGCTTGCCCCCCGTCCGGAAAAGTCTCTCGCTCTATTCAGAAACGCCCTTATTTTGCTGAATACTAGAGGAATCCTCTGAATTTAGGCGTTATGCATTACTCTATAGGTCGGGAAAAGGCTACCGTGATCATAAGGCGTCAAATATAATGTTTTGGCAACAAATGCACTCTTATATCGAAATTTACGGCAGCGATTTCGAAATTGCCATGGTCTACCTAGTTAAATTTGCTTATTTCAATTATTATAACATCTAGTCAACAAAGTTTGGTCTGAAATTTGGGCCAAACATGGAGATTTGATAGGGAATCTCTCAACCAATCAGTTTATTATGTGGTGTTTTCTAGAACCTATTTTGCTTGTTTCCTAGCACCCATCCCTAAAATTCTAAACCCTGGGCAAACCCCTGCCAAGGAATCGCCTCGATTTTACAGTACTCTGTATTGACGCGAGTTTACGTTTTATTTTTGATTTTCTTTGATGTCTTCTTGAAGTTGTAATTGGGGAGTTTTTGTGCGTACTTCGTTCTTAAATGCGCCAATTATGGCGTTAGTGTTTTTAACTATGGAGCCCATCAACGCAGGAAGACGACCCTCGAGGGAGTCGAGAAGTAGTGCTTTTTTCTCGCCCGAGTCTCCTCCTCCTCCTCCGTGCCTGTGCAGTGGATGTCGTCGTCTACAAATTCGATTATGTAAATACATGAAGAGGCAAGGGCTTTCCAGGAGTGCAGCACGTCGGTCACTCCTCCTTCAAATAGATTTAGTTTGGATACGAAATAAAATTCACTGCACTACTTATGTGAAAGGTTTTCTGCGAGTAAAACACGGCTAAAAGCTCGTTTGTGCCGAGCAGGTGCATTTTATTACAATTTTTATGCTCTAACTAGGTGAGATAGCGGCTGCACCTGTTACATGATGATGTGCTCGGCCAGGTATAATGGGAGATTGATTTTGAAGGTGATGGGAGAACACGAGAGAATAGCTACCGTACCCTGGGATTCGTTACAGGGCCCATATTCTTGCTGCCTACCTGATGAACTTTTTTTTATAAATTACTGATTCCACCACAATGGGTTGAGAACAGAGCGGAATGACTACCGTATCCAAGGGATTCGTTGCAGGACCCATCTTTTCGTTCACTACCTGGCGAAAGTTTTATTTTTATAAATTACCAATTCCACGGCGATGGGTTGAACTACCGTGTCCAGGTGTTTCGCTACAGGACCACCAACGATCCCAGTGCTATTTGATGGACGTTCTTTTTTCGTGAATTGTCTGCAAAAGCCCCGATTCCATGGCTCCCTGGGTTGTTCTGTGAATCCTAACCAAATCCCCTAATTATGCGCATGATCTGTCCTTGCGCTCAATGGGTCACATTGTTTTATGGTAGTGAGGCCATTGTTTCGATTGAACTAGCTCGTGATCAGTCATGCTGGCTAGCTATCCTTTTCAGCTGTTTATAGCCTCCACGCTGAACGCGGAAGATCCTGTCGCATAGTCACGGCTCATTTTCACCCGTATGAGGTTCATTAGGTAGGAAATGGTCTCGCCGGAGAAGTCAACCGCCATTAACCCCTCCTACTTCTTTGTTTCCCCGTCGTCGTCGTCGTCGTCGTGAAGTCGGCAGTTTCGAAATCAACACAATAGACTTTGTAGTAGCGTCAGTTTGAACCCAGGTGGGTGGCTAACTGAGGGTCAATTAGGGGACTTTGTACGCTTATCGCCTCAACCTCGGTGTCCAATGACGCCTATTTGGTCCCGTCCGTGGTGCGTTTACCTAATCTACTGATTAGAGCAGGATTACTGGCAGGCGAAGACGAAGAACGATCGTTGCGCAACTAAGGGTCATCTAAACGTTGCCAAAGCGCAGGCATTGGCCGATGCGCTCACTTCTGGTGCTGTTCTTTGCACTTCAGAACGATTCTCAAAAGTGCCAAATTCCTTATTTGGCACATATGGTTTGCACTTCCGCTAAGGAGCATCCTAACATCTAGTTTTTTCTTATACTGGTTTTGAGGATTACCCGCCCAGAAAAGCAGCAGACGTTCCCCAGACTGGACCCGTTGTTTACTTGGTCTGGCGGAAATTCTATTCGGGACAGTAGGGGTTCAATTATGGGCTAAAAATATGTCTTGGAAAACTCTGCAGATTATTGACGTCAAAGAAATGATTCCGTAATAATTGAATTTCTTTTTCATTGCTCAGATAATTGGACATCGAAATACCTTGGATGGGGGGGAGGGGTAACATTATTTTATGGAAGCAATGCTGGTCGAATTCTTTCTCAGGTGCCAGTTATTGGTGTGAATTCCGGGATGCCAAGCCAAAGCCTTGAGTAAACCCGATGACTTATTCGGAGCCGCTGCTCAGGCTCTTTCTGTCGAAACCGGAGGGCAAGAAGGGAGAGGGGGTAGGAGAACGAAATAACTCCTGACTTATCGTAGTTTCTTTCGAAATACTTTATTTTTCACTCATTTTTCCATGCGCTTTACATATTTTACCAATAAATCTTTTCTTGAGTTAGTGCCAGTTGGTACAGCAAGAAGAAAATGAAGGGATTTCTCCATTTTCTCCTAGGGCGGGTAGGATAGCACATGTGGCTCCTGGTCCGTAGCCTGCTGACTGCCTTTTCGTTGGTTTTCATGGAAAGGCACTGAAAAATCGTTAAGCTGGATATAAAATGGTACAACTAAATGTTACCAGTAAGGTTTTCTTTTCGGTCTCCGCTGCCCTTGAACTTTTTCTTCTGTCCCCCTTTCGGAAAGCTTCTGCTAAAGGGTCTTGATTTTGCGCTCTATCCAATAATACTGTAGCTGAAACGGAAGTGTGGGCCCATTTTACGTGTTGCGTTTAAGAGAAGGTATAAGGGATGCGGGGAGGAGCATGAGGCTCCCCATCTCGTCTCTGATATCACGGTCTGACCTTCTGAGAGGGTCAGCGTTGTAACATGGGAGTCGCGGTAAGTGAAAGTGTGAAGTGAGTTCCCAGTAGGAAGGATACGGAAAATATACCACTCTCAGACCATGACCATGAGCTTCCGATCCGGCGATTGTTTATGGAGCAAGTGACGGCTCTTTTCGTCGTCATTGATGGTCCCGAAATCGTCATCACCCGGGTGCGGTATATCTTTCTTGTGTGATCTAATATGAGCTGTTTGACGGGCGCCCGATGGATTTACGATCGTCAAGTGTCAAATGGCAACCGCGTCGCATATAAGCAGTACGCGTCCAGGGTTGCGTAGCGTTGTGAGGAGGTCCCTGTGAGATTGTGATCTGGCGACCGGTCAGAAGAGATCCCGAGAGCCGCCGATTCGTCAGATAACGTCTTCGTCCCCTCACGATAACTGTCACGGTAGTATTACGCCTGCTAGCTGGACTGCAGCTTTGCTGCTTTGATTAGGCTAATACGAGGGCGTCCTGACTTTTTTGCCCGGTTGTGCTGGCTATGTCAGCGCTATTTCAGGGGCGAGAATGAGCAGCTTGGTCCTGGAGACCTTTAGGTTTACCCAGTTTGTCGGCAGTACGTGGAGATGGACGGTGGGGGTTCGCCTTGAGCAAACGTTTCCCCAATTAGCGCTCATAGAAAGGCTACGAAAAGGCGCACTCGGGTCGGTTGATTTCAAAGTCCCCCTGCAATTAGATGGCGATTGTCGGTGCTCAGTTTGACTACGCATCATTCATAATGAGCCAACGCTTAGCGCCGATCCACCCTGTGCCATAGCCATCAGTCATGATCCAGCCCACACAGGGCGCATCCCGGTCGCCGACACGCTCAGAGTTGTTCTACAGCGATAGTTTTGTCGGTCGTTTACGATGAAATATGTGTGCAATCAACGCAAATTGACAAACTGTCCGAAAAGGTCGCGCCACGCTAGCGCGGGTTTTTCCCCCGCATGAGCGCAATTCATTTGGTAAGCAGGTTTTTTGCCTTCGCGGTTATTAAGCTGGATCAAAGCAGTGGCTACTTACCTTTTCCGGGTAATTAGTCACCGCATGGGGCCAAGTTTGTGCTCGGCGGCAACATCAAAACGATCGTGGCAGCATGTTTGGCTGGCGGATTATCCGCTTTCGGGACTACTCCCGGCTCACTTGAGGGTGCCACGGGCGAGCATATGGTGATCTGAAGATCTGAGCCGACACGGGTAAGCTGTTGCAAACATGACCAGAGCATCTTGTTCACCTTGGACATGAGTGGGTAGCTTCCTCCACCCGATATAGTACGATTGATTCGGGATCAGGAACGTGTGCCGTGCTTTGGCGTGGCACCGGGTTGAATTACGATACCTGGAAGGTTTTTATTGCGTAATCTGATACTCAAGTGTGCACTTGTTGTATACCGCAAAGTAAAGTGAGGATGTTGCGCAGGGGCTTCACTTCCGTCGGTGTTCTGGCTGTGAATGTGATGTGTACACTGGCTGAAGTTTGTTTGTTTCCTTTTATGTTCGCCTGACTAAGACGAAGGAGGGCGAGGGCGACGTTGCGAGTGTCCAAAAGCATTGTTATGTAAATGCGCATGAAATTCGTATGGCGCTCAAGGCGGAATTCGGACTTTTACGAGCTTTCGATGGGCGGTGTCGGTGTGATGTTGGACCAAGTTGGGCTACGTAACCCAACCGCTGAAGAAATGGCGCCACTTTGGAATGAAACTAAACACCGTTGTTTATTCGAAGCAGAGTCACATCTAAAGCCCATTATTTCGGTCTCGTAAAATGTTATGCACTTCGTATTGCGTTGCGTAGTATTACGTGCACGCAACGGAAGAAGATACGATGGGGATGAACGTTTGCCTGCCGTTTGAGCAAATAGAAACACTTGGTCAACAAGCCGCTCTGCGCTCGGCTGCCTCCTAGCGATGAAATGAGGCCAGCAGCAGCAGCACAATAGCGAGAGGAAGTGCAATAAAGATGGGAGATTCGGAAATTCAAAAGCCAGTCTTAAGGTCGCCCGATTCATTGCCGAGAGGTTTGGTGCTTTCGAAGGCATTCTCAGGGATTTCCCTGATTGAAGCAGTCAAGGATAAAGTGCATCACGGTGAGAATCTCTACGAATTTTGTGCAGGGACAAAATTCTTCGCAATTTTTGAGCTGATCTCCGCTTAAGCCTAATTGTAATTTTCTAGTAGTAGATAGTAATTTTACTTTCACGATGAACCACGCTTTAGGCGGTCGTATAGGGTTTGACCAGGTTACCCGCATGTGAGAGTCTCTCGATGCATGCGCTTATCGCTTGTACCATTGCTTATTGTTACAGTCAGATCTATTGGCCGTTAATGGCTGCATGCGCTTATATCTTGGAAGAGTGGAGGGGGGGGGAGCGTGGATGTCACACGGCGAACATCGACATCTTTTGCTTGGACCTACCAGATTTTCTAACCGTCCTTTGTCGTTGATCTGGTGCCAGAAAAGTGAAAAGTGAGAAGGGAATAATCGTGATTCTAAAATACCGGAGTTGTTCCACGTTTTAGCTGCTGTAATAAGGGAATCAAGACGCGTGAAGGAAGTTGAGTTAGGCAGGCGCATCATCAAGATTCACTAAGAATTAACGATTCAATAGCTCCGATGTTTCGCTATGCTATCAGATAGAATTAGCACTTCACTTCTTCTGCAAAAAAAAAAATGGAACATTGTGATCGGAGTCTCTGTGCCAAATATGTTTTCCATATCTTAGTATATTTTGATTAACAATTTTATATTCATTTATTTCGCCTAACATTTGAACTAGTTCTCCATTCTTGAAGCCCTTCCTTGAGTTTCACCTGTCCTCTTCTGTCTCCCGTGCTTGATTGTTTTTAAAATTGACCAAACATCTGGGTAGGTGGGGCAGGCAGGGAGGGAGAGGATGGAGGGGAAAGCTCAGTGTTGCGACTTCACGTCTGCTTGTAGTTTTTTGATGTTCGTAGGTCTGATTTGCAGCTGGTTAAAGACAGAAAGTGATGGCCATCGGCTTCCCTACATTCCTATTGTGTGATTATTCTAACTTCATAAACCTCATAATAAGTGTTTTCTTGTTCCAGGTTCAATCGTAGTATGCGAAGGTGGCACAGCCGAATTGGTCTGTCCTCGTGGTATGGTCATCTCAATAGCGCTGGCAAACTATGGCCGATATTCGGCTCGTGTTTGCTACGAGAACGAGGAACTGGACGATGTGGTGCCGATGACTCAATGCCATAACCCAAGGACGATGCCGACCCTCAAAAAAAGGTACAGCTTTATATTCGCCATTTTTCTCCGACAATTTCCGGCACCGGTCAGATTCTCATCGCCGCTTTAGACGCTAGGGCGTCAGGAGGTCATAAATATTTCAATAGTGTGCCATCACAAATCGGCTCATTCGCTTTGCTTGCAGCACACCGATTGTGCATAATGAAGCTGGAGAGAGGGGGGTGTGTGGAAAGCAGCCCATTGAACGCTAACTTTATGTTGTAGGCGCCGACGAAAGGTCCTTTTATGGCCGTGGACGCACTCAGATATAAGCCGCCGTTTACGACCGTGTAATGGTCGGCTGCGAAGCGATGATTCGACACAAAACTATGCCAACAGAATTGGCGATTAGTCGTCGCCAGCGCTATCAATTAGTCCTGTACTTTAGCGGGGGTCAAGTCCTTTGGGAGGTGTTGGATGGTTTGAAGTCAGGGAAGAAGCACAAATGGATGAAGCTTTCGGCGTTGGCCGGGTCCTTTTGGGATGCGCCATGCATGCTTTTTCCATTCAGAATCGTGGTGGCAGTCGAATGCAAATTGGCCTTGGAATGACTTTTGGCCAATTTTATGTGCAAACCAGCGTTGTTATACTGCCAAAATGGTTTTACACTGATTAACCCACCCTGTAAGGGTTAAAACGGTTGGTTGGTTTGGCCAGAACCCCACGCCAACCAACTCTTTCAACCCTAACCCTTGGGATATTGGAGTTCGGCCGAAATCCCAAGCAAACCAACCCCTTAAACCCTATATCCTCGGTCTTGGGGTTCGGCAAACCAACAAGACCTTTCAACCTACAGGGTTAGAAATTGGTATCATACCAAACTGCAGGGCTGGGTTGTATACCGTTTGGACCCAGAAGTTACTGCGTAGGTAAAAGCACATTCGGACTGCCAC